TCCCTGGCCAGGAATTGAACTCATGCTGAAATGGCTTTAGCTTCACAGTGCTTAGCTTTAACCTGCTGTGCCACCAGGGAGGGCCCTGTTTGTTTTTTAATGAGTGGTCTACACCCACTTTGCTTCCTTTTTAAAAAAAAACTTCACTATTATTATTTTAATTTATACCAAAAATATCTGTACACATTCTCCCCTCCTCAGAGGGAACCACTCTTTTTAGCTTACTGTGCGCAGACCGCTCATGCATTTATGTACATAAATAGAGAAGTATCTGTTTCACTGGGAAGGAGATTTACACGCATGGCACCATCACCTGTGTGTCATCCTGCAACTTCTCCCCCTTCATCTGACATGGCCCTGTGTACATACAGGTCAACCTCATTCTTTTAAACTGCAGGATACAATTTGATGGTATTTTGCACATCACCGATGGACATTTAGATTGTTTAATTTTGTTTTTATTCCTGCAACACTATTTACAATAATTTATCCTCTCCTTAGTGCTACACGAGACTTCTCTCTTCCCTCTATTCATCTGCCAATAAAAGTCATGACCAGGTCCTCCCTGGTGGCACAACAGATTAAAGCAAAGCACTGTGAAGCTATCACAGCCACTGCAGCACAAGTTCAATCCCCAGCCACGGAGGTGACCCACAAGGCACAGCAGACCTCTCCTGGCCCACCCGCTGCTCCCCTCAGCAGTGAATTACAATCCATCTGCCTGCTCTGCTCCCCACTCTGTCTCTGGCGAATCCTCTCAGCACCCCCCCCCCCCGACCCGGACCTCTGGCCTGTACCCAATAAAGAAACAAAATCTTAAAAAAAAAAAATAGAAGTCATGACCATGATAATATCTTCCATATATTACTCAGCACCAGGCACTATTTAATAGTTAAAATAGGACAGAGTTAAATGGTCATCCACATGACCAAATCAAGAAGCTGTGGCACAGCCACACTATGAAATACTACTTAGCCACAATGAAAGAGGAAATGCAGTTACTGTCAGCAAAATGGACGCAGTTTGAGCGGTGGCCTGTATGCATAAATAAATATATCTTAAAAAAGAAAAGGTCAAGGGGAGGTAAGGAGTGGTGGTGGTGGGAAAGAAAAATAAATGCAATGAAATGAAAAGGAAAGAGTGTAAGTTTAGAAAGCTTAAGAATGTTGTCAATACTGGCAATGCACTGCTCAGCCCACAAAAAGTATTCACACGTTACATTTAATAGCCACTGCCCAATTGGTCCTCAAAAATCAGTGTCAATGTACAGCTGCACCCACATGAATAAAATTACCTAGTATTAGTGTATATTATTTATTTAATCTTTAACTTTTCTAAATCTGGTGGATAAAAATATTTCCTTGCTTCGTTTTCCATTTCCGTAGTCACTAATGATGTAACATGAGCGTCATCTCATGTGGTGAGTGACTATTTATTTCTATTTCCCCTTCTGTCAACGACCTTTTCATTTCTTATCAAGTTGTACATGCTATTTATCTCTTTTAGAAAAATTCTGTTATATAGCCTGCAAATACTTCCTTCCCGTCTGTAGTTCATTTTTACTTTTGTTCATATCTTTCAACATGTGAAGTTATTTTTTTTTACTTTTATGAATTTAAATCTTTCAATCTTTTCTTCTGTGACTTTTCAATTTTTATGCCAAGATTAGAAAAGCCTTATTTACTCCCAAACTTAAAAATATTCTCCTATATTTTTAGAATTTGTGTTTAATCCAACTGGAATCTATTTTTGTGAATGATATGTGCATGGGAGTATCTCATTTATTATTTCCTAATGGATGGTCTATTTTCCCAGCAACATATTTTGAATAGTCCATTCTTTCCCTGCTGAGTTATAGACACTAAATGCTTATATTAACATGAATCTGCTCTTGCAATCACATTTTTGTTCTATTGTTCTTCTTGCTATCACCTCCCATGCACTCAGCAATCATGGCAATCTAGTTTCAACCCACAATTCCCTTGGAATTATTATTCTTAAGTATATGGATATTCTCCAGTTTATCTTTCTGGAAACCATTTGCCATCCTGTTCCATATGCTCTGTGATATGGATACTTCTCATTTGATTCTCCTACTAACAAAAGTCATGATGATAATAATATCTCCTGTTCATTGTTGTGTCAGGCACCATTGAATCACATGCTTAATAGGCCACACATGACAAGTATGTCTCACCACAATGCTCCTAGGCAGATGTTAATGTTACTGCTCCACGTTACCGTCAAGAAAGCTGAGGCATAGGGAATTTGTCTCGTTCAAGATACCTGGACCACTAAATAGCGTGATGGGATGTGAACCCTTGTCTGTGTGAACCCAAAGGCTAAGTCTCTAAGCACCCTTTTCCAGGCAGTCCTTCGCATTCTCCCTCTTGGGTTCCTTTGACTGCAACTTCTTTAAAATGGTGGCTTCTGCAGGATCCAACCTCCGTCAACGCTCTTCTCAGCTTACCCCTTCACCCCGGGAAAAGCAGGGCATTTTGATGCCTGCTTCTAAAACAGCTATACTGGCTTAGCTATGCCCACATCATCCTGGCCGTGCCCAAAGTACTGCAAAGAGCTCCTGGGAGCTCACTACACCCCTGCTCCCCAGTCCACTTTGGGGGAGGATTTTCATTTGTACTTAATCAAGTTTGTGTTATCTGACTTTGTATGTGAATGCATTGCATTCAAAATCAAGAAAAACAATAAAGTTATTAAAAAATATAATGGAAGTAGATTAGCCTTTTAAGAGGCCATACCAGTTCAGTCCTCCTAAGCCCTCATTACCAAGGCATTTTCTAGTGTTAGGTATTGAATGTCTGTAATTGAAACAACTGTGAGATTGTAATTGATGAACTCCTGAGCAACTGCAGCTGAGATTAAGCGCTCATCTGGGGGCCCAAATATCTCCTTGCCCAGGGTCTAATTCTTTTTGAAGCAAAAGAGGTGTCCTAGACTTTAAAATGAAAACAAAATTCAGTTCAATTATTAAGAAGTTAAATAGACCCTCCCTGGTTGCACAGCAGGTTAGGCTGCAGCACTGCAAGCTAGCTGCAGCCACTTCCGATCCCCAGCCCCAGAGGTGACCACAAGGTGCAGCAGACCTCTCCTGACCCGCCCGCTGCTCCCCTCAGCAGTGTACTTCATCAGTCTGCCTGTTCTGCTCTCCACTCTGTCTCTGGCGAAGCCTCTCACTGCCCCTGCACCTCTGGCCTGTACCCCAGATCTGTATGCATAAATAAATAAATCTTTTAAGAAAAAGAAATTAAGTATATTTATTCATTATAAGGAAATGAGTATGGTTGTTATAACATTAGAGAGAAATAGGAGAATTTGGGATGCAGTTCATCTAAGAACAAGAGACTCCTCAAAGAGCGAATGGGCACTTGGCTCAAGACGATGAATGGCCTTTTCTGAGCTGAGCACAAGTGTAACCATGTGCCTTCTGGTTAAATACAGAAGAAGGCACCTGACGCCACCCCCTCCCTAACTGCAGCTCTCATCACATCCTTGTCTCCGAGCCCTGTCCCACCCCTGCACCACACACCAGGCTCAATCCCCACTCTCAGTCTCTCCTCTTATCTCTGCTCCTGTGCAGTCTTTTCACAGGATGCTCTTTCTCCATCGGCTGACATACCAGCCCAAAGTTTTTGTCTTTAGCCCAGTGTTCATCTTGCTCAAATGATCTCTGGGGAATCTTACAAGTGAGGATATATCACCTATACCTTGATGACCCAAATCTTTATGTCCAGCCCAGAACTTCTTCTGACCTTGAACCTTGTATATCCAGTAGCCTAGTGCCAAAGGTCATTGTATCTCTTCAAAGACCACAGATAGTTCAAACTCAATAAAGCTGCTTCTCTCTTATTACCTCTCCACTTGTCCACTTTGCTAAGCCAGAAATCTGAATCTCATTCTTGATTCTTCTTTTGCCGTCACACTGTCACACCAACTCTCTACAAAGTCCTGCTGGTCCTTCCTGCCGCGTACAGATCAAATTTGTCTCCACTTCCCTATCTCAGTAACTGTTTTGCCATTGCCTCGATCTAACTAGTCCAACAGTCTCCCAGTTCATCTTCTTGCTCTCCAGTCTATCCTATACTATTCCAAAGTATGTTCTTCCAAAGGCTAATCAGGCTACCTATTCTGCCTTTTAAAATCTTCCACTGGCTTCCTACCTGCACACTCTAGAAATCCCTCCATGATCTGGCTCCTGCATACCCTTCACACCCATCTCCCCTTGCCAGTCCCCTGACTCACTCACTAACCCAGGGGCAGACCCAGGTATTGCAGGGCCTTAAGCATATCTGATTGGAAAGGTCCTTCAGGGACAATAATACATTACCACTAAAAAAATGGTTATAGGGCTTTGGAAGAGCCAGTGCGAGTGAGGGCATGCAAGCTTCAGCTTCATGAGCTGCACAGCACCCCTGCCTCTGGTCTAACCAAGCAAACTAGCCTGCAGTTCCCTAGAACATGCCACATCTCTTTGTCTCTGTACGAGCAGTTACCTCTGACCCTCCAGTCCTTTGTCTGTCTCACAAATCAGCTTTGAGGGCTGGATCAGGAAGCTCCTCTATGAAGCATTTCTTGACTTCCCATGTGGAACTGACTATCCTCTCCTGTCCTCATTGTAACTTGTCCTTTACTGTCTTCGGCCTTGCCTTTCAGGGGATATCAGACCAGAGATAGCTGATTTGCTTAACACCAGTCTTTCCCGTGAGTCTCAAGGGCAGAGACCAAGTCATTCTCTTTTAGATTATCAGAAACCAGCAGAGCCTGGCACAAAGTAAGACCTCAATAAATGTCTGCCAATCACAGGGACACCTCACCCACGTAGACTGGAAAGGTACCCTTCTTTTGGCAAAACATGTAGAGTAGAATAGTTGCTATATACAGGGACCCTGGGTGGAGGCGGTGTTTGTGAGGTGTCTGCTGCCTGCCCCACCTGTTCTGAGGGGGGATGGTCCCATTGCTGAGCTCCTCCCTATGGTCCTTACCTGTCCTCCTTGTTGATCTGGTCCCCAAAGCCCACCGTGCTAACAATTGTGAGCTTTAGCCCCACGTTGCTTTCTTGAAGGTCATAGGTATTGGACCGGAGCTGGACACCTGGTTGTGTGTGAGTGGCTGGCTCCCCCTCGAACTTGGTGTTGAATAAGGTATCCATGAGGGTGGACTTGCCCAAACCTGTTTCTCCTGAAAAGCAAACACACAAATTATGTTCCATTCACAGAATGACTGTGTCACCATTACATATCATGGCTCAGGTGCATTTCACTGACACGAGAAAATGTACCAATAAAACACCAAGTAATGAGCAGCTAGAACTCTGTGGACTCAGTTAAGTGAGCAATCTCAGTTAAGTGAGAAAGACGGAAAAGAACCACACCACAGAACAGTATCAGGAGTGAGAAAGATGGAAAAGAACGACGCCACAGTATCAGGAGTAGCCACTTCCGGGTTATGGGATTGCAATCATTTTCACTTCATGTTATGGGCAGTGATGCAGAGGTACAGTTGTATCTGGAAAAACCTGGAAGGAAATACAGTGTACTCTTACCATGGCTCTCTCTGGGTGGCAGGGGTGAAGTATGGTTTTCACTTCTTTTTGTTTTTAATGCTTTTCTGTATTTTCTGCAAGTCTCCTTGGATGCCCAGGTGTGCATCCCAGTCGGAGACTACTCTTGGTTGAGCTTTCTGTTATTTCATTTGTAGCTGAGGGGCATGGGGAGGGCGGTGAACAGCGGGTAGGGGGAAAGGGGTGGAGCTAGCAGGCCACAAATTATTCTTCTCTTTAAATTTCAAACAAACCAGTCGTTTGTTTAGCTAACAGGCTACAGGATACTAATACATTCAAGCACTGAAATTTCATATAAGTCTTGATTTTCACACCAAGGAGACGAGTAGGGAAAGGGTTATGGAGGACGTTTTTGAAGGTTTTCCCTGGGAGATCCAAGGAATATCAAGCCATTGCCAGGAGCCAAGGAGTCTGTGGGAATGAAGACACTGAAAGGGAGCGTAGCACTGGGAGCAAGAGTCAGGCAGGAAACTGACTGAGACTACAAGCCGGACTGCACACTGCAGCCTCTTAAGTCTCCATGGATCCAGCCTGTGACCACTCCGAGTGAGTCAGGAAAACCAGGAACAAAAGACTCAGTAGTTAATGACCTTGGACTCCTATACAGTTTCCCCTGTCACCTGAAAGTTGGCATTTGTATCTGGCAGGATTTGATAGGCTGTTTGTTATGTCTGGGAACACCATTACCATTAATTCATATGGAAAGATTTTTGAGCCTTCCAGACCTCCAAAATAACCTACCAAATCCTGCCAAAGACCATCTACTTACAGACAGCAGGGGAACCTGCTCTTCAGCCACACCAGCTCTTCTTCCCCTCCCCCTCCCAGCCTTTGAGATGTGGGCATTGACCAATCTTCACAGTGGGGAATGGGTGTGCTCTGGGCCAATCATGACCGTCCAGTCACCACCCCTCCCCCACCCCAGCAGCACATACCTGCAAAGCAGTCCAGGGATCAGCTTAGACAGAAGGGTACCCACTGAAGTGCCAAGGGTCTGTCCCATCCCACCCTCCATGGGGGGAGGAATTGCATCTTCCATCCCTCTTTGATCCAAGGTAATGAGCTATGAATACAGGGAGGTGCTTTGTAAAATATCTCTCTACAATGAGAATTTTCTGTGTGTAGATACACAGACTGAGAATGAGGAGAATATTCAACTTGACCTGGCTACCCGCCCCCCCCACCCAATTTTATAGCTAGGCCTTACTGATGTGGTTGACTTCCAGGGTACAGAAAATGGCTCCCTGCTCACACAGATCATGTTTCCAGCCAGGGTCTGCTATACCCATTAGCAACAAGGATTCTCTCAGAGGAGCTCTCTTTTTCCCTCCCCAAAGGAACAGGAAGTATTTGGGTCCCAAGAAAATTTGGTGAGGTGGGCCTTTGCCGTGGGAGGTGGCAAATTTGGCCAAACAATGGAATGTATCAGCCCCACCACTGTGCCCAAGGGAGGGGTGCCAATGAGGCCAGAACCACTGAGGCGGGCACCCAAGAACTGCTCCACCCTCCACTTGCCTTCCCTCCTGGCACTAGTGTTACTTTTCAGTCATCTCTAGAATTGTGTAATGAGTTTTCCGTGGACACCCCCATTCTACCCCTTCTTGTGTTCCAGGAGCTTGTGGAATGGCCCAAAGTGTGCAGAGATCGCTGGACCCTGTCCCACCGACACTGAACTGGCTTCTACAGAGTGAGGCAGTCCTGTTTGCACAGCTGGAGAACGGGAGTCCTGGCCTGCTGGGCAGGGCAGGGCAGGGCTGGGCAAGGCAGCAGGGAGGAGCAGCATGGAAAATGGCCACCCAGAGCCCTGCCAGCACAAAGGACTGTGGAAATTAGATGCCCAGTGATGAATGTCTGGAAGAAAAGAACCGGCAGGTGTCCAGGGAATCATGACAAATGCAACCAGAGAAAAGGGCAGGAGTCAAGCCACATCCTATGGCTACGCGGTTAGTTCCACATTTCCATCCATGTGGCGCCCAGGCTTTCTCAATGGCTATCACAGATCCCAGCCAGCGCCTAGACGCTGGCTCCTCCCACTTCCCTGGGACCAGCATCGAGCAAGGGCGTGCTAACTTCCATGGGCTCAGCAGATTCCACATCCCTGCAGGAAGGTGCGGCCTGACAATCAGATTCCAGCAGGAAAGCTGAGGAGTCCCCAGGGGTCAATTTATCGCTCCTCCGCCCTCGTCTTAGTGGACAGCAAGGTTTCTTCACCCGTTTTAAGTCATCTCAACCAGATGAGACAATTTCACCTCACTTTGCTTAATGGAGATAGTGTTTGGGAAGCACCAGGTTCTTTGAAAAATTGAATTTTAGGGCCCTCGCTGGTGGCGCAGCGGGTTAAAGCACAGCACTAAGAAGCTGAAGCCACTTCTGCGTGAGTTCCATCCCGGCCCGCCCCCCGGAGGTGACCACATGGCGTGGCAGACCTCTCCTGGCCCACCCTCTGCTCCCCTCAGCAGTGTACTTCATAGATCTCCCTGTTCTTCTCCCCACTCTGTCTCTGGTGGATTCTCTCACCGCCCCTGCACCTCTGGCCTGTTCCCCAGTTCTGTATGCATAAATAAATAAATCTTTAAAAAAATAGAATTTTAACTGAAAACATGTATTATGAAAGATGTTTTTTCAAACTGTACTCCCTGGGATAAGCTCATATTGACCTCTCTGAGTTAAAAACTACGGTCATAACGAAAAGCATAAAACAAAAAGAAAATGCAAGCTCTCAGGTCTGCCTGGTGGCACCAGGGGTTAAAGTGCATCACTATGAAGCTGGCCACAGCCAATGCAGCATGAGTTCGATCCCCGGCCAGGGAGCTGACCCACAGGGCATGGCAGACGTCTCCTGACCCACCTATTGCTCCCCTCAGCAGTGTACTTTGTCGATCTGCCTGTTCTGCTCCCCACTGTCTCTGGTGAATCCTCTCACCCCCTGCACCTCTGGCTCATATATGCCATAAATAAATAAATCTTTAAAAAATGTTCTTTGCTTTGTTTGCTATTAAGATTTGCATTCCCTTCGCACTTTGTAAAATTGAAAGTCCTTGCAAGTTATGAAACACAGAGTCCCAGCCAAGTTATCACTAAATAACTATGTAGTCTTAGTTGAGCCCTTTCCCCTCTCTGGGCCCTAAATCTCCTTTCCCATAAAATAAGCAGGCTAGAGTAATAACACCGCCAGCTCTCATGGAGCCCTGGCTATGTGGCAGGCCCCAACGGCTGTAAATACCTGACATCGATTTCCTCTCCTTCTCCCCACAACAAACCTATAAAGAAGAGGCTACCACTAGTCCTCAGTTTACAGATGGGCAAACCAAGCCACTTCCTGGCTGTGTGAATAGATCCCAAGTCCTCAATCTCACTGTTCCCACCTTTCTCACCAGTAAAATATGAACCTTCGACACTCCTCTCCAGGGCCACATAGTAGAAAGTGGCCAACCCAGCAACTGAATGCACAGTCTGGCCTTGGAGGCCATGCTTAGTACCCGTGAGCCTCAGGCATGATATGCTGGTTCAGTTGGTCAGCCAACGAATATTTAGAAAGCCTCTACTCCTAGGAGCCAGGCCCAGCTCTAGGCACCGAGGATGGGTCACAGAGCTATGAAAAGATATCCAGGACCCCTGTTCGCCTGGAGCTCACACTCATGTGGAGCTTAAGTCCCTTCTCACTCTGAATGTTGGAATAAACTGAAGGAAACAGCTCTGAGTTCAGCAGAATTGAGCTCTCCAGGGACTCCAGCTGGCCAGGAGAGCCTATGGACAGGGGTGACGAGGTCAAGCCTGGCTCTGGGATCTTGCCCTCTTCTCTTTGAACTTGCAGAGGCCTGGCAAGCACACTGGCCAGCAGGAGAGTGGAGCCAGCTTTCCCTGTTTCCTGTAGCTCTTCCCAAGACAACAGGGTGACATCACGCTGGTGGCTTAAAATCAGCTACGGTGGGAATCACAACACCCTGGTCAGTAAATGCTATAACCAGTTTTCTTCCTGAGAGTGGGTTTTTTTTTTGAGCCTGGACAGCACAACAGACAGCCTGGCTTAAACAGGTGAACAGGTGTTTCTCAGAGGTGGAGGGCAGGCAACAATTGATCCCTGACCTTGAAAGAGGGCTAGCTGCCCTTCCCATTCCCCTGGAGTGAGCCTCGATCCTACTTCTCTTGTGTGTGTTTTCCAAGTTCAACAGAGCCCGACTGAGCCTGGAATCTTGAGCAGCTTCAAAGTAAATATTATTATGACCCTCTGTGCTCCTCATAGGCGGGACTGCTGCTGGCACATGTGCAGGGATCAGCTTCGTCGGGCTGCTTTCCCAGGAGTGCAAAGCAGTGGGCTCCTGAATATTTGTCCTGTCAGCCTGGGTGGCTCCTCTGAAGCCTCCTGCACTGTGTCCAGGATCATGGGATCCCGGTGACTGCCAACCTAGGGGACTAGGGTGTGTGTTTTATGAGGGGAGGGGAACCTCACTCTAATTACTATGGTCAACCCGAGAGAATCTGCTCGTAAGGAATCATATGGTCTCAACTGTGTGCCCAGTCTTCTGAAAATAGTCACTATAGGTGCCATTTATCAGCACTCTTACATATGAAGTGAGCTGTAGGTTCATAAGAATTCTCTCAGCCCCAATATGCACGCACGAGTGAGCTACTCACTCTGCTGGGCTAGCATCTATGATCAGCAGCCCAGCACCTGGATTAAAAAAAATACTGTGATTAAAAATACCCTAAGACACCAGGGGGAAAAATAATAATAATGAACAACTATATACCAGAGATATTTTACGGGGGTGGGGTGGGGAATAGGATCAAAAATGGAGGTGGGGGCGGGGAGTGCACTGGACTATGGTGATGGCACACAGGTGATTTGGTGATGGGAAGCCCACAGGGATTACAACTGAGATGGAAAAAGGCACAAGATGATATAAAAACTATGAACTACTGTATCATTAAAAATATATATATCCTGTTAATAATCAAAGCTAGTGCTACCATAATTTTACACTGAAAATGCCTGCTGAAAAAAAGAAACAAAAATCCTTAGGGGGAACATCTTCTATGCCTATATTGAACAATCATCTAACAGTCATTCATGGAGGAAAGCTGGTGAGGCGAGCACAAAGAGGGGAGGGAAACTGACTTATGCACAGGCAGAAGGCCTGCGGGCTGATGACTGGAAGCCAGGGAGAAAAGAGAAAAGACCACCTGTGGCCGCCTGCTATGAGGCCTCGGGGACAGAGCTTGCCCCGTGGCTGCGCTGGGATTGCAACCTTAGAGCCACTCTCAGCCTCTTGACCTTGGCCCAAATTGAGGGTTCCCTGGGCAATGACAGGGTATGAGCATCCGCCAGAGAAAAGAACGGGTGAGTTAGAGGCTTTTTTGGACCAGGGATGGAGAACATAATTAACTCGCCCCAGGCTGCTGCAGCCCATAGTTGCTGCTGCAGCGCTGAGAGGCACTTTCAGGGCAACCATTTCCTAAAACTTGATAAGTGAGAAAGAGAAGGGGTGACTCGTTGGGGTCTCCTTTCTTCCCCACCCCTCTTGGAAAATCTGGCCCAGGCAGTTGAGCGATTCCATGCCAGCAGGTGCACACTGGAGCAGCTGTGACTGTACCATGCCTGGGTGGGAACTCGAGGACAGTGGTTTATTATTTCTCCCACTCACTTTGCCTTGAACTTGGCTGCTTCTTCTTCTGGGCCTCAGGGGAGCTCGTGATCCACATATCCACTCACTCTAGACTTCTGCACTCACGGGGCCGTCCTGATTTACATGGCTTCTCTCCTGAAGCTTTACTAGCCCACCCAATTGCACTTGGTTGAGAGGATCCTTAGGATGGGTCTGTTTGTTCACGTCTCATCTCAACCTCACCAGAAATCATCTGGAGCTCTGGGGAGAATACCAAAGGAAGTCAGTATGTGTATGTGGACATTTTTCAGTAATACATATTATATGAAATAAGTTGGCCATCAGCCAAAGATTAAAGCTCTTGTGGGTTAAATAGAGAGTCAGTAGCACTAATGAAGGGTGCGATAGCATTTGACCTTGATGTCAATCACCATGACTTTTACCTCGTTGAGTCCCTCTCCAATGAGCAGCTAATCATGATCATGAAGAGAGTTGGCATTTAAAGAACTCACAGCTTAGATCTGCACACTGAGGCCTAAGGAGTGCCACTGTTATCTCTTACGTCCCAAAGCTGATCAGGTGGGACTGAGTCGCACAGTTAATGAGTGAGCCTAGCTCACTGCCTGCCATCTGTAGTGACAAGTGGTTTTGTTGTTCTTTACTTGTCCTTGACTGTGTAGTTATTATTCCCCAGCTCTTAGATTATTTCTCTTTGATAGTGGTCTAGACAAGAGTGCTGGGAAAAGAGAAGAAAGAAAAGTAAAGAGACCCAGGAAATAAGTGACCTTAGTTAGAAAACAGACCTTGAGACTACATTACAGAGTAAAATGTCCAATTCCGTGGAGCTCAGATCCCCAACATGAATGAGTTCCCCATGAGCGCTAACAAAAATAAGCAAAGGAGATTAGCAAAGTGTTGGAGTGTTCCAGCCTAGTGTGAAAACTAGCTTCATTAGGGTATTTATATAATCATTAAGGTTTGGAATAGGTCACTGAAAATATTCGGGTATGTGTTACTGCACTGCATGGTGGAAATTATATGCTGAGATTGTGTTGGCAAATTTGGGACTTCTAAGGTCTAAGAGATTCTTAAAAGAATTATCAAGGAACTGTAGTCCCTCATATTTGTTTGAATGGTATTTGGCAGTTTCCAAAGTGCTTATGTGCTCTCAAGAGATGGTATTGGCAGCAGTTAGAGAAACAGTGGGAGGGAGAAAGGTCAGCCAGACCTAGGTTCTTGCCAGGGCTCTGCCACTTACTCTGTGTTGCCTCAGGTAAATGTCTTGCGCTCCCTAAATCTCTGCATTTCCATCTGTCCCAAGAAGATACAAAGGCTCTCTTCACTTCCCAGAGGCCTCAGAAGGCCCCAAATTGCTAATATATGAGAAAGTGTTTGAGCAGTATCATGAGTGGTTTCTGTGGGGTTAACTCATTCATTTATTTCACATTTATTTCAATAGGAGTGAACTCTCTTTGTGCTGTGATTAGCACATTAGAAGTGACTAAGACATGGTTCCCACACTTGAGACTAAAGGTCCAGGCGGAAAGATTTAAAGGGAATAAAAGAACTTTGTACACAGTTGTGTGATCCCTGCCCTTGAGCTGAAACGGTACCAAGTGTAGCGGGACTCCAGAGGAAGCAGACAGACCCAACCTGCTGCCTGTAGCTGGTGGGCGAACGTCTTTCCAACAGCCATCAGCTCCCTCCCAAATCTCCCCTGGCTCCCTTCTTCGACCATCAACATGAACTTGACAACAGTGGCTGAACCAACCAGCTCCTTTGCCAAATCTCCACAGGGTGTCACACAGCTCAGCTTCTCCAAAGGCGTGGGCCCCATATTCAAATCTGGCCAAGGAAAATATACTGACGGATAGTTCCTTACCAAAAACCAAGCAGAGGGGTAAAAGACGAAGGGAGAGACACTGGCAAATAGATCACAATGACACACTTATTTAACCTAATTACCTGCAAAGCCGAATCCAGTCATTAAGGATCCATATTCTGTAATAGAATTTCCTGCTATGGAAATACTCACCCACGCACAGGATGTTGAAGCAGAAGCCCTGGCTGACTGACTTATTCACCAGCTGGTCGGGCAAGCTGTCAAATCCCACATGTCCAGCCAGGGGGACAGTTCGGCAACCTTCACCCTAATTTGGAAGGGGAGGGATGGGATCAAATTAAAAGGTGCTTAGAAAGCAGTCCGGGTGTCACTTCTACATCCAAATGCTCTCCATGCTCGGAAGTCACCCCCGCCCAGACTCAGTGTTATCCATCTCCTCCTTTAGCTACTCCCTGCTCCAAAGCAAAATGATCCATAGGCCTGGAAATCATGGATTCTTGAGTGCAAGCACCCTCGAGACTCAGGGATGGATGTCTCTGGAGTTCCAGACAGAGCAAACTACAGAGGGAATTCACAGGGCGCAGAGGCAGGGCCAGGGATGAGTGTACTGTCCACTCGATTCCTTGCAAGCAGGAGAGTAACCCCGCGCAGCCGCAGCTTCCCCCGCAGATCATCTGAGAGAATACCACCCATCTTAAAGGTGCCCGGAAGACACAAATGTGCAAAGACACGTCACATGCTCACCACTATGCCCGGTGCAGGCATAAGGCCCCAGCAAATACACAAAGAAACTTCAGAAAGGAGGCAATACTCCTCTCTAGGGCATTTTGGGGATCCACACAGGTGACACCAAGTTGAAGTTAGGAGGCTTTGAAAGCAGGTAGGTCAAGGTTAGAGTCCCACCTCCACCTTCTAACCTTGGACAAATTACTTAATTTCTCAAAGTTACCCTGTCTGTAAAATTGGAAACTAGTAGTTAACGCCACCTAGGGCTAGTGTTAGGATGAGCTAGAACACTCCTCACTTAGCACATCTCCTGGCATAGGGTAAGGATTCTTCATGAGCAGGTATCCCAGGTGATGCCATGGAACACGGGCGGCCCCTCTAGCTACAGAGAGCTGCCGCCTCCCTGCCTCCCCCTACCTCTGGGCCCTTGTCTCCACAGGGGTCAGCCAAGCCACCTGCAGCCCTGAAAGCCAGTCCCAAAGCCTCTTGTTGTTAATGGCTTTACAAAACAAGAGGTGCCTCAAACAGGTTTCCAAGAACCAAGGAGAAAGACCAAGAGAGGCCTGCATGTACTCAAGGAGCTAACTGGTAACGGGCGCTGAGGTGGTGAAAAGGAGGAGAAGGGAAGCAGGAGCCATCTGAGTAGACCAGAGGGTTTTGTAGCAAGTCCGAGTGGGTGAACAGGGCTACACCAAGATTTCCATAACAGGAAGGGAGCCAAGAGCAATCCAAAAGGGCATGCCGGTACCAGGAGGCCTGTGCCAGCCTCCCAGGCTGTGCCCTCAGCAAGCTCGTATGCCGACGGGACCAGCTTTTCAACAAGGACCATCAGATATATACCTGCATCATGGGCTGTGACGGTGGGGGAAACTCACAGCAGCCACAGGGTCAAAACTGGCTCACCCAGCGTGGGATCCCACTCCCGCGGGTGTCTTTGGGTCCTCCGAGAGTGAGAGACAGGGCTAGTACCGGTGACCACCATCTGGCAAGTTTATTCTCCTGACACATCTCACCCCACACACTGCCAGTGGAGAATTCTTGACAGGCAACCATATGCCACCCCTCAGCCAAGGCTGGCATATTCCAGGTCCCAGAGGGGCGCCTGAAGACAGCGAGGTTTCACAAGTAACCCACATCACTCAAGACATCTCCGTCTTCCTGTTCCACTTCCTTTCCCCTTCGCCCCCTTCTGTTTATTAAAGCCAGCAAAAAAAAAAAAAAAAGATGGTAAGTGTCCCAGGGTTCACTTCTGGCTGTTGACAATGGAGGGAAGACCGATACTTAAGAGCCAACGTGCCTGTCTGGTGTAGCCTCCGCCACAGCAGGCATCGGAACTGGGATGGACTTAAGAGTTGAGGTTTCCTGAGCCATGTTTTATCACCTCTGACTGTCTCTTCCTGTCACCAAATTCAGTACCGTGAAATGTCAAGTGCTCAAATGTCTCTGGTCCAAGTTCTAAAAGGAGAGCAAAAGGAATTTTCTTTTTTTTTTTTTTTTAAAGATTTGTTTATTTATTCCTACAAGATCTAGGGTATAGGCCAGAGGTATGGGGCTGGGGGGAGGTGAGAGACAGAGTGGGGAGCAGAACAAGCAGATCAAGAAGTACACTGGTGAGGGGAGCAGCAGGTGAGATAGGAGAGGTCTGCCGCGCCATGTGGGTCACCATGTGGGCCGGGAATCAAACTAGTGCTGCAGTGGCTGTGGCTAGCTTCACAGTGCTGTGCTTTAACACGTTATACCACCAGGGAGGGCCCGAAGGGAATTTTCAAACTGAACACAGTGGAAGGCAGTAGAGAGAGCACCTTCAGAAAAGAGCCGGTCTGTTTCCTAATTCCCTCTCGCACCTTATTCTCCAAGGTGTTCTTCTTGTCAGACTTAGTACACCCTCCCATGAGCCCACCCGAGGTGCGCTCTGTTCCCTCTACACTGTGCCACGATACAAGCAGTATTTTAGGAAACCATTCCAGCTGCAGGGTGCTTGTTGATTGGAAGAGAGCAAGCAGGAGATGACACGAATGAGGCTGAACTGGCAGAGAGCCACCCAGACACTATGACAACAGACACTGGTTGAAGTGAACTGATTGGACTTAGGACTCAGAGGGAAGAACCTATTTGAGAAATGTCCTAAAGAAGGGATGCATCCCAATGAGTGAGTCCACAGATGCCGCAAGGGTCTCGAGCCTGGGAGCGGATTGATGGCACTGTGGGCGGACAGAGGAAATTCAGAAGAGGGAAATGCTTTAACTGGGGAAGTCAAGGAGTCTGCTTTAAACAAGTTCTTACTAAAGACGTGACATTTATCAAGGTTTTTATTTTATAAAAGTAATCACCATTCACTGTAGAAATTTTAGAACATATGGAAGATGATCAAGGAAAAAATAAAATGCACGATACCATCACTCTCTGAAGATAATCACCGTTAGTATTCAGATGCCTCGCCCTCCAGTCTGTGTTTCATACAAAATAGGAACAACCCTTTCATAATCTGACTTAATAACCTGGCAATTAGTATGGATGTTATCTTGGCTAGCTAAGCATACAGCTGAAACACTGCTTTTATTGACCACATAGCATTCCATTGTAGCAATCTGCCACATTTTCTTTACCAATCTTCCACTGCTAGACATTTTGAATGTTTCCAAGTTTTCTACATTATGAAGAATATGTTCTTGTTCTTGTTCTTACAGGTTTGCATATGTCTCTGGTTATTTCCTTAATTAAATTCCTAGAATTGAAACCTGCTGGGTCTAAGGGCATGCATGTTTGAAAGGCTTTGGTACACACTGAGAAATCATTCAACTGAGAGTAGTATAAAGTCTATGCCACCGTTGACGTGTTCCACCACCAATATGGGAGAGTGTCTGTTTATCCAGACTTAGGCTAACACTGAGTTTCTGAGGCTTTTTAACACCTGCAAATTGAATTACTGGAAAATAATATTATGCCATTGAATTTGAATTTTATTATCAAGGTTAAAGTTTTTTATTGTTCAATTATGTGTGTTTTATTATATATATACATACATACATGTGTGAGTTGTTCATGTCTGTCCATTTTTAAAGAAATGAGTATCTGTCTTTGTCATCTGGATTGGAAAAGGTGTTTTATACATACCAAGAAACATAACATGATTTTGATTTTATGACAAGATATACAGGAGAAGAAATCCAAGTACTTAGCAACATGAGATTGTAAGCTCTGGGAGAATTCAGAACTGAGATCTAAATTAAGGAGTGAGAGCTATGGAAATGGATGTGTTTTCTAAGAGACAGTACAAGGAAACAGGGGTTAAAAAGACAGAATATAGGGGAATGCCACAGTCAGTCACTTCAAAACGACAAGAAAAATAAGAGGTGACCCAATCATTTTCTACCACCAAAGGCCAAGGCGGAACTCAGAATTACACAGCAATAACCACGGATCTAGACGTGGTGAAGATCACTGGTGACTTTTAGGACCCTTATTTCATCTGTAACTCTTACATGTTTCCAACCCATCTAGACTAACTGGAAGGTTTGGGGGCTAAGGGGCCTGGTTCTGGTAAACGTTTTTGTTACGGACCAAGATTTAAGCAGCCAACTTTTTTATTTCAATGCTTATAGTTAAGAAATATTCCAAAATGAATTTGTATATATAGTTTCTGCTTTAGGAAGTCCTGTCCAGAGAGCACCATTCACTCTTGTTTAATAAATCTCTTACGATGTCAAGGTCATCAGTATGAATAATCAGTCCTTACTGTTCAGAGCTAAATGTGTAGAGGTCAAAAAGATAAGATAGTGGACTAAATGTACAGCCCCTTGACGTTTCTTCCCCACATCTTCACTAAACCTCTAATATCTTATCTCTTCTTTCTTCCTCCTTAAGCTGGCCTGATTAATTGAGGTCCTGATTACGTTGATTGCAGTTAATTGAACATTCCCTGAATTACAATATGCATAAGAGGAAAGAGAACTGGCGACTAGGTCTAGAGTATCCAACACTAAAACCTCAAGTAGGAAGGCCACAGTCACCAAAGTGTTAAATGGCACATCTCTTGTAATCCTGCCATCTCTCCTTGGAACCTGTTCAGCAGAAACTCACATGTCAACAAATATCTGTGTACAAGGACATTCACTACAGCACTGTTTCTAATACTGAAAAAGTAGGGAAAAACAACATACAACAATAGGGACATCTTTCACCAAATTATAGTATGTGCATCTTCTGGAATATTCTGTCATCATTAAGAAGAAAGAAGTAGGTCTGTATGTACTGATGCAAATACCTCCAAGACATATGATAATGTAGAAAAAAGAAACTGTAGAACAGAGTATGGACCTATGTGTGCCCCCAAAGCCCTATGGATGTGAATTTGCACATAAATGCAGGTGATTGCATGGAAAGGGGACTGAAAAGAAAGACTCACTGAACCAAGAGCTGTGGCTCCCTCCAGAGAAGGGTATGTATATGTAGGGGCTGATTCAGGAACGTCAGTATGCCTCCATATGGTTTGATCTTTTTTAACAGCATGAATGTGTTCACACCACACCTATGTAATCTAAAAAATTTTTTAACACAAGAAAAGGGTTCTCACTCAGCTTT